GCTAGAGCCTCGTAAATAGGTGGGGGTCACAGCTCTGTGCTACCTGGCCCATCGATTCCACTTGTTTATTTGATTTTCCCCAAGTTCAACTAGTACTTTTAACAAAATCCAATCCTGAAAGGTTTCTATAGTTTTGAAACAGAGACTTTTAAAGAAGTATTGGCCAAGCCAAGGTATGTTTATAGGTCCCTGGTGCTGTTACTGTGAGATACTATCTTCACATTTGTTTTTGAGCTTTGATCTTCTGTGACCTCAATGATAGGATTAGTTATTTTTCCTTCACCGTAAGTACTGATTTAACAAAATGAGTGTCTCATCCAATTCTTATCCACTTTTGTGATAGTTACTGATTTATTGATATGTAACTATCATGTACAAAATGTTAGGGCAGATGAAGACATACAAGATTATTAACATTAAAGAGCTTGTTGTTAAGTGGCAGTGATAGATGCTAACCAAAGTCATTTTAATTTAATCTTAGGGGGAAAAAATAACCCTTTCACTGGCACATGCCCAGAGGGAGTTGTCATGCTCTCTGAATTTTGACTTTCGTTTACCCTCCAGCAAAGATCAGTATATTGCTGCTCTTTAGTCACTTGTACCCCCTACTTTAGTTTAATGAAAATCATGACTGAATTTAATACTCTCCTGTCTAGGTGCTGAAATGCTCCTATGCATGCATGATGTCTCCTATGCATGCATGATGGAACATTTGCAGACAGAACTAGAGTCATCCATGTCTCCAGCCATTTTCCAAATGACTTGCATCACTTTCAGATTTGGTTATTTCATGCTGAATTCTTTAGAAATTTTTATTTATTTAATTTAGTTTTATATGTATAAATGCTTTGCCTGCATGTAAGTGCCCCTGTGTCATGCAATGCCTGCAGAGGTCAGAAGAGGATGTTTAACTCCCTGAAACTGGAATTAAGGATGGTTGTTAGCAGCTATGTGGGTACCTGGGGCCAAACCGAGTCCTTTACAAGAGCATTCTGTACACTAAACTGCTGAGCCATCTCTCCGGGCTCTCATGCTAACTTCTTTTAACTTGTATTTTTATTTGTAAAACAAAACTAATTTATCTATAAAAAGAGTATAATCATTATGCAGATGTGGCGGGAGTTAAGTCTGTGACATCTATACACATGCAGCAATTTTTTCTCACTGTGAGATGAAAAGTGCTCAGGGCATTTTACTGTGGGGGTACAGGAAGCTCTGGGACAGGAGAACGTTCATGATGTGAAATGGAAATGGGTACCTGAGCGTAAGAGGTGATGGAAACAGAGAAATTGCAGAAGTCCTTAAATTTGAGAATCTGCAAGAGCCATATGGTACAGTGATTAACATTAAAATAATCCAGAATTGTTATTTATAGCACCCGATTAGACCCCAGAATGGGCAGTTTAAATAGTACCTCATAACCAGTGTTTAAGAGCCACATAGTAACATGCAGAATGTCAATATCTTTATCACATATATCCCCTAGTGATTTTTGGTTCCATTTCTTGATAATATATATATATGTATAATATACAATATATATTAGTTATCACTCCAGGGAATTTCCATGAAATATTTGTCATTCAAGATTACTGTGCTTATTGGTAGGTTTAGTCACTATCTTGCTCCAATTTCAAAGGCAATGCTTGTTATGACTTTTTAATGGACATTTACTGATTAAAGAAGTCCCTTCTATTAATAGTATGCTGTTTTTATTCTGGCACCTTTTTATTTAATATAATTTTAATTGACACAATTGAGTATGGTTGTGATGTACAACATGAGGTTTTGATATGGGAACCTTGTGGAACAATGAGACTGGGGTAATTGGTGAATGCATCACCACACATGTGTCATTTGTGTGTTGAGAATGTTTAACACCTATGCCCTGGTCAACTTTCATATATACAGTATCTTGTTCTTCACCATCATCATGATTCTGACTATGAAGTGCAGACAAAATCTGGGGCTTACCAACCCATTTAACTGAAGCTGTGTTTTCAGAGCTCTGCCTCACTGGCTTTACACACTGTGCCCCGACCCCCAGCCTCCAGTGCCCGCCACTTTACCCTCAGCTTCTGCAAGTCCAGCATTCTTAGATTCCACGTGAGTGAGATTGTTCGTATTAGACTTTCTGTGTCTGGCTTAGGTTACTTAATGTCCTTTGAGATCATCCATGTGTCTCAAATGACAGCAATAGTTTTTAAAAGCTAAATAGTATTCCAATGAGTATACATAGCCTGTTTTAAAAACCTATTCATAAACTGATGGATACGAAGGCTTATGAGCATTTGCTTGAGAACTTTTCTGAATGTATTTAAATGATCTTGTTAATATATTTATTACATTGATCGTTTCTCAACTTTCAAAAATGTGAGTTCCTAGAATAAACTCAATTTTGTTTTGAGGTTATCTTTTTATATTTCTATATTTAAATGCTACTAATTTGCTTAGGCTATTTCACTACATTCATAAAATGGGTTTGTAGATTTGCTTCCTGAGAAAATATAGAGGTGTGAGAAATTCATTATAAAGAAACAGCAATATGGCACATATGTTTGATTAGGGGAACAGGAAGAGATGTAATAATGAAACAAAATGCAGAATTCATAGAAAGACCCACGTGAATCCCAATACTATATTTTTAAATTGCAGCACTAAAAAGAAGCATAAATAAGATCGTTACTAATGAAATGACTGTTGCACTGTCATTGGGTTTCTACATGAAATCAATGTTTCAAACTGTAGCTCTAGAATTTCCATGTAGTTCTGAATGTAAATGGTAATAAAATGAAAAATAAGTCTGGAAAATACTATCAGAGAACCTCTTTGTGATTTGGGGACAGCCAGGTATTTCTAAAAATGCTGCCATAAAAGCACAAACTGAAGGAATTGATTCATAACTGGACATCATTAATACTACAAATGCCTTTAATCACTATGTATTAAAGAAAAGGAAAACCACAGTTCTATATA